ACAGGGATGCATTTCTAGCTCATATTTTTTGAGCCGCAATCTTGGGACTTCCATTGCTATTGTGAGGGATATCACACAAGGCCGCCCAAACCCCTCAAACAGATGCATAGGAATGTGATAGTTTTCACCCTAATCAATGATGGAATGATTAAGTGGATGGCTTCCAAAGCAAAATGAAGAAATTGGCCTTTGCATCGATAATTGAAAGGGTAGAATGCAAAGCAAATGGTCAAAAAGATAGGTTTAGCTCTTTCTCACAAATAGAGACTAGTTAGATTACGGATAATTGTGGACCGCATGTACGAGTTGGCTGCTAGTGGCAATTTTTGGAGTGTGGTCCCAGCCATGCACAAAGGCCTCAATTCAAGGATCAATTGAGGTGCAATGTCAGAGCAAAACTACAACACAACATTAGAATGATAGCCCGCACATAGCCCAAGCTCGGGCGTCATGGATGTTGGCCTTGTCCATTTGTTGCAAGTCTTTGCATTGGAAATTAAGGAGTGTGGCGATTTTTGGCATCGTTGACATTGCGACAACGGGCTTCTTTTATGGGGACTTAAATATGGCCGAGCATGTTTAGCAAGCGCTATACCATGTGAGGCATATTGCCCTTCGCCATGACAATAATAATAACTTTGCTTTGGCATGCCTAAGACAAGAGCGACCGAGAGTTGCATGGATATCCAATCGGCGCCAAATTTAAATGCCCAATTTTCGGCCAAATCTTAGGGGGCAATATATATATTTCCGTTCCCGATACTGTGCACAACCAATGAATATTGCAGGTCTAACAAATACCTCTCCTGGGTGCGTTTGAGTGTCCAACATGCTGTCTTGAGGTCCTAATGCACAATAAGTCTGCATAATATACTACAAAATTGGTGCCAAGCCAAAAAAGGGGGCGTTATTGAGGGGGCGCTGTATATGCACCCCCCATTGTGCATTCTCCAGTCTCAATCGCCAAAGCCCGGCCAGCCTTGCGGACACAGGAATCGCGTGTCGGGCTGATTCCCAAATTCACATCAACCCGCTCTTACGCCTTCTCCTTTCTTCGTCATTTGCGTGTCCACAAATCGCATTTGCATCGGACGCTGCTCCCCGCCCCCTTGGCGGCCCCCCCTTTGGCAATCTCCGCGTGGCCCCTCCCCCCCTCAGCCGTGCTCCCCGATCCAGGACGCCCACCAACGCCCCGCCCACCCCGCCGGCGGCCACCTGTCCCGTCCGGCCCACAGGCGGGGATCGGCATACCGCCCGCATCCGGGCTGCCCCCATCCTCCCCTTGGCCGGCCCGTGAGGCGTTGAACGGTCCGCGCGATGGCGAACGCGATCCCCGCGGTGGGCAGCCGCATCAGCCTGGTGTCCAGCGGCGACATCCGCTACGAAGGCATCCTGTACTCCATCGACATGGTGGACTCCAAAATCGCGCTGCAGCAAGGTGCTTCAGGCCCCCCTCCCTCCCCCATCACCTTGCAACACCTTGCAACTCCCAACTGCTTGATTCCAGTTCCACACTTCCCCAAGTCAAGTCCCCACCGCCTACATGTTTCTTGCCACGGCCAAGGTAGTCCGCTAGTAGCCCGCCGTGCTTTGCTCGATGGCGCGCAGTGTGGCTCGGGCCTGGCAGGCTGATTGCCCGCACCGCCTGAAATGTTGCGATCGTTTGCGCCACCCCCCCGCAGTGAAGTCATTCGGCACGGAGGGCCGGCGCGTGGGCGAGGCGCAGGTGCCGCCCAGCGAGGAGGTCTACGAGTACATCGTCTTCAGAGGTGAGCCCCGCCCTACTCCCCCGACTCCTCGGTCCCTCTCCCTTCTCGGAATGCGCCGATTGGCCGTTTTGGGGCCGATCTCTCGTCAAACTGACCCACGGCGAGATGCTGACCGGCCTCGCGGGCGCGCAGGCTCTGACATCAAGGAGCTGAACGTGCTGGAATACGCGAGGCCAAGGGGGCCGGCGGGGCTGGACGATCCGGCGATCATCTCCGCGGTGGTGGGTGCCTGGGCGTTTGCCGGCCGGCCGCTGATTTCCCCACTCTCGAGTTTCTCTGTTGATGGGAAGCGGAACATCTCAGGGGATGGACGCCCCCCTGTGACTTGACCCGACTCTGAAGCGCCCCGGGTTGTTTGCCCCGCAGGGACCCGGAGGCTCGCCGCCGATGCAAGTTCGCAACGTGAGTGGCCCCGGGAGGTTGGCGCCTCGAACTTGATGCGCCCCTGTTGCGCCCGCCTCTTCTGCAGGGACCCCACTGAGGGTGTTATGCCCATACGCACTGAACTGAGGACGACTTGGCCGTGCTGGGCGCCGAAATTTCCGAAATTTGCAAAACCGCGCCGCGTTGCCCGTTTGGGCGATTTCGCCGATCTCGTGGTGCTGGGGCCGCTGCGGCTCGCGGGAGACGCTTGGGCGCGATGTGCCGACGCCCGTGTGGGCCGCCGTTCGGTGGAAAGATGCCCGCGCTCTGGGCGTCCGGATTGTTATTCGACGCGTGCTCACTCGGCTCTTGTTTCGTGTGTGCTTGCAGATGAACCTGGACAACTATGGTGAGTGCGGCTCGACGGTCAAGGTCTCAGATTGTCCTGGCTTGAGCCCGGGTCACAGTGTTGGGGAAGTGACACTTGCCAACTGGTCTCTATCCAACTGGTCTGTTGTCCAACTGGTCTCTATCCAGCTGAAATCCTCCCGGCAATCTGATTGCGCTCTTGCAGTATGATTGCAGCCTTAGAATCTGACTCCAACATTACAATCTGTTTGCAAGCTTGCAATTTACTGCCAATCTTGTTGCCAATGGTCCCAAAAGTAGAGAAGACAACACTTTTCAAAATGGCCATCCCATTTTCAGGAATCTTCGCCAGTCCATCACTTGCTGCAGGAGACGTAGCACAAAGATCTTGCCCTGTCTGCAGACGCCCTTTGTCACATCTGTCGATCCCATCAGCATGCCTATGAGCCCTACGAAACCCCAGCTATCCCCTGTCCAATCAAATAGCAGTCACAAGGGGGCATTGTTGTCTGTACCGTGGCAAGTGCAATCAAAGGGGTTGCGTTTGTTCAGCTGTTCTGGCACGGCCTGCAGGTGCTGTCATCGCACTGCAGATGTGAAGGGACTGCCTGTCACATTTTGGCAAATGTAGGTAATGGCACAAATCCCAAGGAGTGGGACATGCCTCCACACAATTTTTCTATTGGATACGTTAATGTGCGAATTGCGTGATGCATTACTCAGTACAAGGAACACAAGTTGGTCAGCCAGGCATTTGTAGTCACACGGATCGCCGCCTGCAGGTGGCAACATCTGGAGCGGAGGTCAAGGCCAGGGCCAGAGCCAGGGCCAGGGCCAGGGCTACCAGGCACAAGGGGCAGGCTCCAGCTCCAACAAGCCTGGCTTCCCCGGCTCTGGCGCCGCGCCGGCGCCCACGATCTCGGTGACACCTGCACAGGGCAGCCAAGAGGGGGCCTCGGGCAACTGGTGGCAGGGCGGCGGGGCCCCCAATGGGGGGATAAACAACCAGTACCAGGGGGCCCCGGGTGGTAGAGGCTATAGTGGTGGCGCACCTGGGAGGGGCTACAGCAGGGGGGGCAGGAGGGGTGGCGGTCCATTTCGGGGAGGCGGGCAAGGGGGTCAGATGGGGGGAGGCGGTGGCGCAGCTGGCGGGGGCCAGGGTGGCCCTGCCTATGCGGCTCCCCAGCGGGCAGCCGTGCCACCCCCTGTCCCCGTCCCCAATGAGGATTTCAATTTTGAAGAGCAGAATGCGAAGTTTAAGAAGGATGACGTTGCCAAGGTGAGCTTGGGTGCTGGGTGACATTCGTCAGCAAGCCACCTGTGAAGTAGCACGCTAGCTTGTGTGGACGTTGCTGTTGCTCTCGTTGGCGAATCGATTGGGACACAGAATGAAAGAGGTTATGCAGGATGCCAGCAGGGCCCTTTGCCCTTCCCAGAAGCGCATGGAGTGTTCCCAGAGAGAGAGTCTGGTGGCAAGAGACTGGTGAATCAATACAATAGTGGCATCTTGTCACCAGCTTCTGCAGTGCTGGCCCTCACATTAACTTTGTCCAGATTGTTGTGCCCCTTTGTGGCACAGTGCGTTATCTTAACTCACTGGCCATAGAAGTCCTAGACAGGCTTACGCCATATGAGGTTGCAAGAGTTTGGACCCAACCAGATTTTGATGACCACTGTCTTGCATTTCTGGCCGGAGGCAGACATCCCAACAGGCCTGCCATCTTCCTGAGCCAGCACTCAGACCAGCAGCTGAGTTTTGGTGGTTTTAGATGACTCCGAGGAAGAGACATACTTAGAAGCTGAATCCGGTGTGGAAGGGTCATCTATGTCAATGTGAGGAGTGGCACTCAAAGCCACTCCTCCCCCACACGAGATTAGCTGGGCAACACCCAACAAGTCAAATTTGGTTCTCTGGATGGCAATGGGATGCGGGCACTGTTACCCTTGATGAGCTGACCACTGGCAGGTTTGGGTCAACATTGTGGTGGTTTTTGGAAGATGTTCACAGCATGCAGCTTTTTTCCAACACGACATGAAATCACTGAACTACTATTGTTAACAGTAGTGTGCAGTAAACACAGAAGCCGCTTGGCACAGCACTGATATACAGCCCTGCAACAACGCATGCAAGAGCAATGTAACTCAAAACTTTGCGGCACAGCCTTCTACCATTATATGCAACAGCCACTCAGTGTGGCACTCTGTTTTGTCCATGGCAGAGTGGTTTTGCACAGTGATGATATTGGGAAATTGAAGTTTGAATTGTTGGATCCTTCTGCACCTGGTCCTCCCTGCCAGGTGCAAGTGTTCTCTTTTTGTCATGGCCGTTCTGACAACTGTGAATCATTGGATTTCTGGCAGCAGGAGGAAGCAGGGTCGGACGTTCCAAAGGGTACATATGCCAAGGACGAGTTCTTTGACACGATGTCCTGTGAGGCGCTGGAGAAGCTCGGCGGTGCCAACCAGGATGGCCGGCGGTCGTTTGCGGAGCAGCGAAAGGTGGATGTGGAAACATTTGGTGGCATGGCCAGCAGCATGAACAGGCGCGGCCGGTGGGGCTCGCGTGGGACGCGAGGGAGAGGTAGAGGCAGAGGACGGGTAAGGATGCCAGTGGAGAGTTTAGTGAACATCACCAATGTTGCTTTGCTGCATCTTGCTTCTCTGCTGAAACATGCCCAGGCGCCTTCATGTTGAAGGCACTGTTTGGAATACCATTGCCCTGCATTGGTTGCAGCTGGTCCACTGCCCTCCTCAGTGCCGATCTTTCCAGGACCCTTATCAGGCTGTAGTCTGCCTGTCAGTCCCCAATGCTGACGAGTGCATGCTGCAACTGTGTTTGCATCGTTTTGAAGAGTTCTCATGGTGGCTCAATGCATCGGCATCGTGCTGGCATCACTGCAAATACTTTCTGTTGTTGCATGTGTTGTTTCCTCAAATTTTGCCCAAAGGGTCGCAGAGCTCAAACAGCTTTGCAAGAGGACAAAATTTTGTTGCAAACAAGTGATAGCTCTGGCTAACGTGCACCCATTGCACTACATGTTGTGCTTCAGTTCCATGCTTGCCTCGCCGCCCTGCACCTCTGGAGTCCTGAAGCCAAATAGCCTGAAACCCCTTGGATCCAAGTAAAGCCAATGTCAATGGCAAGGGACGCACACAACGTGGTGCCCTGGACTGGGTACTGTTGGAAAGGCCCGTAAACATGAAACATGTTTGCTTCTTGCTGAGAAAGGCAAAGTACAATAAACATGCGTATCTTCACACACAGCACAGCCGCGCAAAGCATTCATGTCACGTGTCTGTAGATCGAGAAAAGTTCAGCACAAGACACACAACAGTGTTGGACTGTTGAGCTACTCCCCATCTGAGAGGAAACACTGCTGAGAGAAGCGTGACCAATGCAAGGGTCTGGCTCTCCAGACACCTTGCAGGGAACAGCAACAGCAGCGCTGTGTATAGCCCTTGCATCGGTGAGGCAGTGACAGGCCATGTTCAGATCCATGGTTTCTGGCTTCATCGTGTGCATGGTTCCCAAGAACCTGTGCCTGGGAAGGTCCCCCTGAAGCAGTTGAGAGATGCCTGCAAGGCCATGCCCAGTGGTCAGGAACGTGGGTTGCTGTCCTATTGGATTGATGTTGGGCTTGTCATATGGGCTAGTATTCTTTTCTGAGCACTGGAGACTTAAAAAATCGCATCTAATTGCCAGGTGCCACCTCCTTCCTAACGGAAGGGATGTTTGCTTTGTACCACAGCACAAGAGAGGCAAGATGATGCAAAGCTCAGCAGATTGCTTCTGTCAAAATGAATGCAGAACCTGAATGCAGAATCTTGGCAGTTGCAGACAGCCAGGTTGGTCATCAGGGCACACGGCCATGTGTGGAATGTGCCATTACCTGTTTCCGAACGACACTGAGGCAGCAACTATGCCTTCAAGCAACACCTGACAAAGCTTGCTTGTTGCTGAGTACGTGGTTGATGCGGATATAGGCAAGTTGATCCAGTGCTCAGGTGCGCTTGCTGATGATCACTGTTTTCACTTCATGTGCAGCAGGGCTACGGCCGTGGCCGTGGGAGGGGCTACTACAACAACTACCAGACCTACGGGAAAGAGGGTGCCCGTGCATAGCTGTGTTGTGCTGCAGTGGTTTGGCGTGTTTGGATGGGGTGCATGGCAACACCGCAAGGTTAGAGGCGGTTGGGGTCAAAGGAATTCTGTAAGCCAGCGATGCGATTGATTGCCAGTTGTGCGCATGCTTCTGCTTGGGAGCGGGGAGTGGAAGCAGGATTGGAAGTGCTTTTTGTGTGGCTGTGGATGACTGTCAGAGAACAATCCTATGTGAGGTCCAGGATCCCAGGCACGAGTTGTGTGTGGCGTTTGAGGGTAGGTGCTTCAGCTCCGGTGCCAAGCGAATTCAATACGCAAGGCAGCCAAGCTGTGGCGTTGCAGCATAAGTGGCCAAGGCCTGCGGCCCTGATTAGCTCTTGTGACGCTCTCTTTTGGACTCCGACCTGGGCCAGTGGGCTGTGCATGGGGTGCTGGGGGTGAAGCTGACGGTGGAAGGAAGCCCTGTGGATGAGGCTGCTTGCAAGGGGTGGTTGTTTTGGTGGCAGGCATGAATACCCGTGCATCATTTCGGTGGTGGTCAACAGTTTTGCAGATCAGGGTGGTTGTTTTGGTGGCAGACATGAAAACCCGTGCATCGTTTCGATGGCGGTCAGCAGTTTTGTAGATCAGCCTCACACATGTGACCGCTTCTGCAGCATTGGGGATCCCATGGGAAGGCCAACTCATTTCCTGATCTCCACACACCCACTGCTGCGACAGTCCCTGTGGCAGTCCGGAAATTGTTAGGATGAGAGTGTCAGAAGCGAGCATCATTGTGTTGTCTTTTGTTTGTGAGCTCCAATGCGCATGTTGAGGTGGCATGCGGTAGCCTGTTGGCCTTCTCATTGACTGTGTGCGCTTCGATGCGCAAGAGTGTGGCCAACAATTGTACGAGAGGATACATAGGGATACCTCGGGGCCCCGTGGGCGTGGAGGGTGCCCAGCCCTCTGCCAGCCGCGGTGGATCTGACCGTGGATAATTCTAGGGGCCGGGGGATTCGGCCGACCAGATATCGGGTCGTTTGATGGTTTTGGGAGTGGGTCCCTGCATCTGGCCCAAGTGCAGATTGCGCATGGGCCTGGGCGTCTGGACCTTGGTGCTTGTGGAAAGACTGTAACACCTGCCATTGAGTGATCTGCCTGGACGTGCCTGAAGTGATGACCACCTGTGGTCGGGATTAACCTTCATGCCATCGGGGTCCTACCTGTGGGTCCTTCGACTGTGCGATCTTTGTCAGCGGGAACAGTGGCGATAAAATGCACAGCATAAGTGTGTAGTCCTATTAGGACTGTGGGAGTGTGACCTACGCTCATGCATACCCCCCAGACAAGGGTTTTTGGGCAGATGAGAGTAGCAGTGGGGCCCGATGGGAATGCTCTTTTTTGGAGAACTGGCAATCGGCTGTCTTGAACTCTCTTCAGATGCACTGCTGCGCTTCAGGACTTCAAAACGCCATGAAGCGAGCGTGAATTTGTCTAGAAGGACGTAATGCTGCAACATCAAAGAATCATACTCCAACCTACTTGCAATGTACGATTGGCCTTGACATCGATGAGTCAAGCACCGATCTGCACCACGTGGAGCTGTCAGCAGGGGGGAACGATTAGCCGGGACTTCGTTTCGCGACCTGTTTTTCTTTTTTCAACAGTGGCCGCGCCAGCTGGGGGTGTGACCACCTGCGCCGGCGTCGCCGAGCCAACCCGACCTTTATAGCGCTGCAACCCGATCCACTCGTGCAGACCTTGCCCCTCCCGATCAGGACCACCTCCCGCTTGGGCGGCACCGCTGGTTCTTGGGCCACGTCCACGGCGGCCCCAGGCACGTGTGTGCGCAGGTGCCGGCCAGGCGGATGCCGGCCAGGCGGATGCCGGCCGCTGGCGCGCCACCGACACACGCCAAGACACGCATGGGTGGTTCAGCCGGCCAACCTGCGAGGCCTAACCCAAAGGCCGGGCGCAAAAGATGCCACAAAACGGCAGGAGTGGGAGGCCGAAACTTGCCTCCCACTCCAGCGCTAATGCTCCTCGCGGTCGCCGATTGGCGCCGACCGCAGGTGCCCTGATAGACACTCGCGAGTGGCATCAATCGGCGCCCGCAGGGCCCGACTGCGAACTACGGCCTGTTTGGTGCCCAACGCTTGGTGGTAGAACACGCCACAAAACTGCGAGAGTGGGAGGCCGAACGTCGCCTCCCACACCTGCCATTTTCGCCCCTCAAGGCCACAGACTGATGCCACCTACGGGTGCCAAGATTGGCACCCGCGAGGGGCACGATCCGGTGCCCACGAGGGGCGGATACCAAAGATCAACTGCGACCTGCGCGGCGCCCATAGAGCGGGCGCAAAAATCGCCACGGGACGGCAGAAGGGGTTGCTCCTCGTCGCCTCCCACAGCCGCCATTCTTGCCCCTCGTGACCACCGATTGGTGCGAGCGGCGTCCCGCAATCGGCACCCGTGAGTGCCACCATTCGACGCCTGCAAGGCGCCTAAATGGGCAGCCCGCTTTGCAGATCATAGGCGGAGATCGGGAGACCCGCTGCCCCGGCCCTTTGACGGGCACACCGTCCGTCCGTCCGCGAACTACCAAGGCCCCGAAAGGGAAGGACGGAATTCAGGCCTGTGGGGCGATTCGCGCTCCGTCCGTCTGTCCACAAACTACGGGACGGACTGGCGCGTGGCACCCGCCCGGAGCGGTCATGGCTTGCTGACTATTTTCTTTTGCGACAGTGACATTGTCGACATTTTCAGGGAACTCTGCCGCTGTACGCCCCTCGTGTTTGCTTGTTTCGATGGGGCCGGAATGCCCCCTCGCCCCTTCGGTTTGAAGACGCCACCGTCCCTCCACTGACAAGCCCGGGCCCAGGATTGCACGTCTGACTGCGCGGCTGCTACCCACCCACACAATCGCGGATGATTGGCCTTTCTCACGCCGGTCTATCGCTGGCCGGGCTGCCCCGGCCGCTGACTGAGCGACGTAGAATCTTCCTTGCGCACGCCCGAGATTGGCAGACTCATTCGAACGTCACGTTCTGGCCGTCACACGGCGTCTTCCGCGTCCGTCCTTCAGAGCTTCGGCGGTCGGCTTTGCCCGTTGTGGACGCCCCGTGGCTGGGGTGCACCCACACTGCCGTGCCTTTGGCCGCAGCTCGCGAGCTCGCCAGTCGACCCGAGGACACCATTCACCGGCCACCCGCCTAAGTCCACCGTTCAAGTGCGCTGGACCGACGCTGATAAGGCTGATAAGGCCCCGGCGCCGGCGAGAGTGTGGGCTGGGCGTGCGCATACAAGGAGAGAAGGCTTGGGGGGTGGGGAGGGTGAGTTGGGGATGAAGGCCGTTGCCTGGGGCCCGTCGAGGGGCAAGGCAAATTGGTAGACTTCGCCGCGACGGGGGGGGGACGCCGACGCACTTATGTGAGGCTCGGGTTGCCGTTTTGGGTTGGGATGGGACCCGGCGTGTCGCATGCCGCGTCTGGCCGATGCATCTGGGGTGTGATCGCGAACGCTTGAGGCGGCGGAATGGTGTGGGCTGTGCGACTGGAGCCGCAGATGTGTCCGTCGCTCGTCGCCGCTGGGCAGTCCTCTCGTCGACGGTATTCTGGCGCGAAGTGTGGCCGCCTGCCGGGAGGCCTCGCGCCCCCCGCTCGCTATCACCTATTTCTCGGAAAACCTGCTCGTGGACTCAATGAAGCCGGGGTGCGATTTCTAGGCGTGTGCACCCGCACCTTGCTCTCCACCGCCTCCCCATGTGCCACCCTGGCGCTCACGTGGACCCTGTTTTTCTCCGTTTCCTTCGCGCGCCTGGCCGTCGATCCAGCGGTTCATTTCATCGACGTGCGCTGCGGCGTTCGTGTTGTTTCACGGGTGCCTGGGCAACGCGTTGGCTGAAGGGAGTGCGCTGCTGGCCTGCCCGGTTTGCCGAGCGCGCAACGCATGTACTTGAGGCTGAAGGCGGCAGCACGAGAAGCAAGGATTGCAGGGAGCGGGGGGCATTTGACCGTGCCGGTGGCTGTCGTTCATTGTCAGTCGCACTGCCGCGTTCCGGCACTGCCCGGGGGCAACCCACCGCCACGGGAGCTGGCGCCACGTACTTCCCAAGAACAGAGCAACGGCGACAGGAAGTTCCGCGTGTGTCATGGCGGCTCTGCAGGTCAGCTGCAGGTCTTGACTGCCGCTGCAGGTCAACGTTGTCGCGCCGAATGCTGGCATGCGCCGGGATGCTAAGAGGGGATGTGGATTCTGATGCGATGGGCGCGGAAATGCGCTGGGATTACTGCGCAGGGGATAGGCTCTGGTGATGATTGTGGAAAGAAAGCCGCCCACTGCTTGTTGGAAAATATCAACAACAGCGGTTTTGAGCGATGCAAAAGCAGGATTCTGTGTCTAAATTGTGTGGTTTGGGCTCCTGCAGTGAGTCAACTTCTTCCCCTGCCTGGCTGCAGCATTGACACTGCAGCTGCTTGATGCAAAGAGAATTAAACAATGGCACAACCAATTTATTGTCCAGTGCTGTGCAATGCCCATTGACTGACTAGTCGAATGTTGTGGATTGCACCCACCGGCGATTGCCTGAGTTGAACCTGTCTGCTGTACTGTCTCGCTGGACAGGGAATGGAACTCGGCTGGTACAGGGCAACAAGGAGTTGAGGCACAAAGGCAGGCAAGGCGCCAATTTGCTTGAGGTGTAGAACCACAAGCGGCAAGCACTGATGGGAGAAGTGGGAAACCAGAATGACCAACTCAGTGCTCTGCTAGAGAGCTACCAACGGAGGCCCAACAATTCAATCACTGGGGAAATCACCACAGATCCGGATGAAATTATTCCAGAAGGTTTGGAGTTAGAGGGGGGAAGGCGAGTGGGACAGGCCGATTTCGACTCTGAGGAGCTCCGGGCTGCATGGGGTTGTGGCATCGAGGTTGAGCAGATCCCTCCCGAGAGTGGCAGTGCTTGGCTGGGACGGGGTGCCTTTGGCGATGTTGAACGGGCGATCTATGTGGATGGGGAGGGGACACGCCATGATGTCGCTGTAAAGTACATGAGCTCAGAAAACATGGCACTGGACACGGCCATTGCCGCCATGAAAAAGGAACTGGGGATTTATGCACGGGCTGGTGACCACGCCAACATTGTCAAATGTTTTGGTGGCAAGTTTGGTGATGGCAACAGACTTGGGCTGCTGAATCCCTATTCTGACGAGAGGGACTATTATATCGTCCTGGAGCTGATGGACAGGAGCCTGAAACAGTTCATCAGCACTGGCAACTACCCCACCGGCTACTCATTCAGAACTATCCTGAACATCTGGCTGGACATCGTGAACGGCCTCGAGTTCTTGCATTCCCGGGGCATTGTACACTTCGACTTGAAGCCCTCCAACGTCCTGCTGGACGATCGGCTCACTGCCAAGCTGTCCGACTTTGGCGAATCCAAGGTGCACTGCGACATGACGTGGACTGCCAGCTGCCATGGCAGCCTTGGCTACATGGCACCGGAGATATCCCTGGCCCGCTACATTGGCGAGCTGCGGGCGACGAAGAAGCTGGACGTGTTCTCGCTGGGTGTCATTATGTGGGAGACGCTCACAGGGCTTCCCCCTCCCTCCCACCTTGACACAAATAGGAGCAGGGGGCTGGGGGAGGCAGAAGACCCAGATGAGGTGCGCATTGGCAACTCCCTGCTGTCGGTGAGCTCGAGGTGCCCTAGGGAGATAGTGAGTCTCATCGAAAGGTGCACCAGTCTGAAGATCGACGACCGCCCCAGCTGCGCTGAGATCCGCGAGGAGATAACGCGCATGCTGAATGCGGACTGGGTTGGGGAGTCATGCCACTGCCGGCTGGCGAGGCTCAGCACCAGCAGCAACACCAGCAGCTTCGGCACCGCGCACACTGACTGGGACAGCAGCTCTGACTCCTGGAGCACGGACAGGAACAACGGCCGAAGCAGAGAGATCACGGAGGAAGAGGCGAATAGGCTGTCCTGGGACCTGCGCACGAGCGCCGTGTCCGAAGTCTTTGTGGGGCAGCACAGTGTGCAGGGCATCAGGCACAAGGTAGCCGTGAAGCATGCGAGGGACCCCAAGCTCAGGCGGTATTTCAAGAGCGAGGCCAAGCTGCTTGGGAAGCTGGGTGGTGTGCCCCCCTGCCCCACTGTGCTGCAATGTTTCTGCGGTCAGGTGGCCAGAGAGGACGAGACCATCCTTGTTGTAGAGGAATGGGCGGACTGCAGCCTGGGGCACCTGGTGCACGATGACTATGCACGCAGGGTCCTCCACCGGATGGAAAAGGGCGATGGATCCGCGCTGCTGGTCATCCTTGAGGACGCCGCCAATGGTCTGGCCCACCTGCACGCCCACAACAAGACCCACTACTTCGTGACACCGGAGACAATATATGTGACTGAGGACTGCAGGGGGAAGGTCGGTGGCTTCGTTTCCAACGTGACATGTGTGGATGGCATTGCGCCGGCAGACGACTCGGCTGGAGCGGAGTACAGGTCTGTGAACTTCAATTTCAGCACTGGGTACATGGCTCCAGAACTGGTGCTGCGCAACTTCTATGGCGACTATGGAGTGTGCGCCAAGATGGACGTCTACTCACTGGGTGTGGTGATGTGGGAGACCATCACCCTGGAACACCCAATGGGCAGCGTGCTTGACGCCTCATTCAAGTTGTCGACCAGGTTCCCGATGTCCGAGGGCGTGCCACCCGAGCTCCAGCAGCTGGTGAGAGACTGCCTGAAGTTTAAGGCCGCAGACCGCCCCACATGCAGGGAGGTCGCTGACAGGCTGCGGAAGCTGAGGCAGGCGTGCGCATGGACAATCGTGCCCTCACTGCCCAGGTACCTGCCAAGCTGCCTATCGGACAGCCGGGTCTGGAACAAGGCGTCCAGGTACACGGGGCTGAAGAGCATGGTCAAGCTGGAGTGGGTTAGGAAGGCAACACGTTGCCGGGGGTAGCGATGTTGCATAGGCATGGGAAGAGAAGTGGCTGTTGGGGCGCTGTGGACATGCAGCAAGACGCAGTGCATCTCTGTTGCTCAGCTGGGAATGTTCTGAGTGTTTGGTCGATCAGGGGAAGGTCGGGCCTAGGGAGCGGGTGGCGCTGCAGGTGTTGTGTGTATGGCCACGAAGCCAAAAGGACCAGTTTCCTTTTCTGGAAATGCTTGCAGGGCTCATGGAGCTTCTTGGGCTCAGCGAATGGTTCACAGCGGGAGCTTTGCAATGTACTTCACCGCTGGGGTGAGGGGAGAAAAAAATGCACTACATGCAGGCTGCATTTAGTTGGGGTTAGGCATTTCACCGCAGAGCTGTGGATGGCGTTATGGGAAATGTGGTGTGGTATGGCAGCGACCAGTCACAGCCTAGCTGGTGCCCTGATGACAAGGATTTGGCTGGTGTGGTCCCACATAATGGTGCAGAGGGGCCATGGTGTGGCCGCCTGCTCCCAGCTTTCCTCTGCAGGTTTTCCTGTCGCCACTTGTGGGAAGCTAAGAATGTGGGACATTTTTTTGCATTGAAAGCTGCATTGAAACCAGTGCTGGAGGGATGCCAGCTGTGAAACGAAGATCGGGTGTAGGCACCTCTGGCCCCATCCACTGAACTTCACAGGAGATATCTGCATTTGCAGGTTGTTGGCCCTCTTGCTTGCTAAGGCCAGCACAACATCCGCTAGAATGTACCTCCATGACGTAGCAATCCAAGGCATTGCCACATCATCACATTTGCGTCATAGTAGAAAGGGATGTTGGAACGGTGACTGGCAACAACAGAAAGTGGCTGACGCGCATTCTTATAATCGTTGTATTTGTACAGCGACTGTGCACTGCGTTTCTGTGCAGTAGAAGAGGAGGTTAGCTGTTGCTGACGTGGGTCAGGATTTGGTGAACAGGCTACTGGATGATCACAGAGAAGTGCCCATCGCAGCTTCCAGGGGCGCCAGGGCATTGCTGTGTTGCAGCCACGTGTTGCAGACAATAACAGCCAGCAGGCTGGACTGGGCAATGCGCGCACTTGGGCGAGCCCTGACGTTGCCTATGCCACAGCATGTACGGCACAAAAGGTCGTTGGTGACTGTTTTGTATGCTGTCTGTTGAGCACATGGAATTGTACCCAGGATGCGGAGCTCTCTCGGATTCTATAAGTGCACACCACAGAGCAAGATGCGCCATGTCAGCCCCGCAGGGCCAATGCCTGCACATGGGCTTGATGGCTGTTTTCATTCGTGCTCTGTTCTTGGGCCGTCCAACCCAGTGCACACCGGCGTGGGTGGTTCATGAGGGATGGCGGGCAGTGGCGCCTTTCATGGTGATTCGTTGGTGATCCGTGGGCCGAAGGAGTTCGTTTGGTCGTGGCGCTTTGTGTGCACCACGAATAAAGAATTGCAACCCTCTCTCAGCTCACCCGCTGCACATGGAGACTTGAGCGCCTGTTCATGAAGTTAGCATCTCTCTGTGGATGGACTTCGGTGTCGTCGTGCAAACTCGTCTGCGATTTTGGCGTCTGTCAGCTTCGGGCATGTACTGCTTGTGGCAGCCCGTCGAATTCGAATCCAAGGTGTCTGTCAGGTGCAGCATCCACGGACTAAAGCGCAGATTGATGGCACGCCATGATTGCATTTGTCCATTGTACAATGGCCGCCTGTGGATACGTCTCTACCCAAGACGCAACAGGACTTTTCGAACGCCATCGTATCCTTGGGCAAGTTTCATTACCACATTGGGGGATGCGCGGTACCTTGCCTCACCGTCGGCGCAGCCCTTGCCACATCGGTTGCCAGCGCTTGCGCTCATCCCACAGGAGCAAAAGGCAATTCGCTGTCCGAAGGAAATAGTGAAGTTGCACGGACTGGAGCTCAATAAACAAGCTGAAACTTCACTTTGAAGAACGTGAACCAAGAAAAAACACAACAGAAGATGGAACCCCCGAAATTGCGGCGATCGTGTTTATAGTCTGCGTTGAACCCTCCAGGAGTTGCCACGGTATACAGGTTTCATTCAGGAATATGATATTGGAGGTGCGGTATTATACGTACAATATGAATATGGTACAAACAATAATCTGTGCATAACGAAACGTGCCATCTTATGCTTGCTGGAAATCACCTAATGCTGTTGGCAGCTTTCTGGGCCGCTTCAGTGAACATTTTTCTCCGTGCTCGGTGTCGTCCCGCCTTCTGTATAGCTGCGTTTTGCATTCTTCTGGATTTGGCACCGCGTCGCAATGTTTGCAGGCAGGAAAGCGCGTGTTCTACGTTGTCATGGCAATGTCGTCTGTGACTGCTTTCGAGACGCTAAAACATTGTCGCTTCCAGTGCGCTTTGGCACGCACCACACCACAAGCGCCCCAACAAAAGTGAGGCCCACACGCTGCACATTCCATACACTGTGGCGCCGGTGAGCAGCTGCCGGCATGGTCTCTGCTGCTCTTGAACATGCGACACAGAATCTGCCAGATTGGGAGGGACGCGCACTTGCCCGACCGCCGTCTTCACCGCGACTGAACGCCACTTCAACTGGCTTGGCAAAACCGAAGAGCGGTGGGCTTCGCGGAACTGCACCGTTACCAAAGAGGATGTAGCAAGAGAGCAAGAGACAGGCCGAGCCGGGCGCCCAATGACTGGGCAGACGACTTGCCGGCGCCCCATTAACAATACATGTTGCGTGGATGGGTTGGTGCCAACATTCTATGCCGTCGGTTTGGAATACTGGAATCTCAAAGATCGCTACTACTTTCAAGCAGTACGTTTCAAGCAGCGCGCCGTTGAGGTCACAACACCAGGGTCAGGCCCTCGAAACCTCCAGCGCCACGAACTCCAGCCCCTTATCCATTGCCCACTCCTGCTGCAACCTGCTCTGCCCCGCACGTTTCCGTGCACTGCTTTGCTAAGACGTGCCTCAACGCCCTTCACTTTCCACAGCTCCACGCCTGCTGCTACTTCTCACGCTGTGCCCCTGCAAAGAATGCCGCTACCGACCCGCCCCCGGACGCATCGCGGGAAAGGCTCGCCAACAGAACGACAGCGTCTTGGCCAAAATGTTGTGGAAGAGCTCGGAGGGGGCGCTCCTGCGGCCGGTGATCTCGACCCGCTGCTCGACCCCATCGGCATCCTCAGACTGACTGCACAGGGCGCAGCCCCCACTGCTGCCGCTCGTTGTGCTCTGCCCCGTCTTGTCGCTCTCACAGATGGACTGCATCTGGCTGACCTGCCTTTTCCCGAGCCCAAGATTGCAGGAGTGGGCAAGTGCAGGTGGAATGCAGTCCTGAAAATGCAGTGCTATGGCCCCGTCGGAGTGATGGGACGGGAGCTCATAGTCGTCAGGCACCAGCTTCCACACTGTGTTCCCCTTCACACCCTCCAGCCTGGCCTTGGCCTCGCTGCAAGTGGGCCGCTCGGCCGGATCGTATTTCAGGCAGTCCTGGATGAGCGTCCTCAGCTTTTCAGGCACGCCATCGTCCAGCTGGAACAGCCTACCAAAGCACGTCGCTGAGTTGACGACACTGGCATTCCCAAAGGTGGTCGTGCCCGCCTTGCCTGGCGGGTCCTTCAGTGTGGCCACCTCCCACATCACCACGCCCAGGGAGTAAACATCCACCTTGCTGGTGATGTTCATTGTCTGGTCGTAGTTGCTGAGCACCAGCTCTGGGGCCATGTACCCGACCGGCAGGTCGTACCCCTCGAGCGCCTCACTGCAGTCGGAGGTGCAGCATGTTGCCTTGGTCCGCAGAGACGACAGGTGGAAGCCCCCCACCTTGGCCCCTCCAGACCGATCCACCCTGATGTTCCTTGGGCAGACGAAGTAGTGGATGATGCCGTGGGCGTGAAGGTGGGCCAGGCCGTCTGCCACATCTGCCAGGATTGCCAGGAGCTTGGACCCATCCAAGTCAACCCTACCCTCCTTGGCCTTGAACAGCCGGATACTGTAGTCCTGATGGATCAAGTGGTCCAGGCTCATGTCGTACATCTCCTCCACTATGAACACCTGCCCAGGGACTGGCACCACGTCGTCCTCCCAGTCCACCGTGCCCACCTTCCCGCCAAAGCACCGCGCTAGGGAGCCATGCTGTGGCCCTGGCACCTGCGCAAAGCTGTCCAGCTCGTCCTTGAAGCATCGCCACAGGCAGGGATGCCGCGCGAATTTCACGAGCACATCATGCCGCTCACCCTCACAGTCAGTGTACACAGCCTGCTCTACTGCTGAGAAAGGACCCTCACTCAATGCAAGGCCCCTCATCCTGAGCTCGTCTGCCGTCAGGTCCCTCCGGGCAGCCAGCATCGCCGTCTCGATCTTCGCCTCGCCTGTGCAGCGGTTCCTCTCACTGCTGCTCGCCGCAGGCTGGATCTCTTTGGGACTGGGCTTGACCCTGGTGGGCAAGATCAGGTTGTCCACCCACGGCTCTGTCAGCAGCGCCTCCAGCTCGTCTCGGATCTCCTCGCTGGTTGGCCGCTTGTCGATCAACAGGTCTGTGCACCTGGCGATCAGATCCACGATGCCCGTCGGGCACCCCTCGCCCACCGTCAGCAGCGAGGTGCCGATCCGAACCTCGCCCCGCCTGGTGCCCCTCTTGCCGAGGAAGACGTCCTCTGGGGAGGGAGGCCTCTTGGCCGTGACACACTCCCATAGGATCACCCCAAAAGAGAAGATGTCCGCCTTCTTGGTGCCCCGCAGCTTGTTGTAGTACCTGGACATCTGTATCTCGGGGGCCATGTAGTTCTGGGTGCCCCGGAACTCGGCCGTTATGGTCCTGGCGCAACGCAGCTGCGACTCACCAAAATCCGCAATCTTGGCGGTCATGTCCTCTGCCAGCAATATGTTCTGAGGCTTCAGGTCATAGTGGATGATGTTCTTTGAGTGCAGCCACATCAGGCCTTCTGCCAAGTCCAGGCACATCTTCAGGCTCGTCCTGTACGTGCACTCCTCGAACTCAGGGGAGTACAGGTAATCGGCGAGGTTCCTCTGCATGAGCTCCAGCACCACACAGAGCCTCGCACCCCCAGGCCGGCGGCTGCCACAGTTGAGCCTGCCCCCGAAACAGCGTATCACATTTGGGTGGTGACCCACAGCGCTGAAGACTCGCAGCTCATTGTGCAGCGCCTCATGGGCCTTGCCCTCCTCCAGGCTGTCTGCATACTTAACAGCCACCTGATGGCGCACACCATTCTCGTCCACATAGGCTGCCGTCTCCACAGCGCCAAAAGCCCCGTGTCCCAAACTCCTGTCCGCACAAGCATCCCCAGGATCGACTTCAATCTCAAGGTTCAGGCCCTCGAACTGGACAGGGGAGGGTGAACGTGGACGGGGATGAGCACTGGCCTGCGGCCGCAAGAAGTCCATAGGGCCATTTCCAGCGAATGGCGTTGTGTCACCGGGCCCCTCCCTGGGGGATTCATCCTTGACATAAGTCTTAAGAGCTTCGCCGATGTCGATGCTCTCAGTCATGCCCCCCCCTCATCAGCCAACCCCCGGCCTGAGCACTGCTCCAGCAATACTGGATGCCCTGCACAGCCCAACGATCGTGAACACCAATGTCCCCGGGCAGTCGTCCCCACTCCCCAGAAGTCCCCAAGCAGATGCGTGCTGCAAGGGCCTCTATCTGCAGGAGCAGCCCTTCCTTCTGCCTGGTTAGCAGAGGCGATCCAGTGCTCTGAAATGGAGCAAATAGGGATCAGAACACAGGTTGCAGAGACAACCTGCACACCAGTACGAAGTCATCAACACTGCAAGCCATAGTTGGGTGCTTGACGACTGCAACTCGAGACACGTCAATCAACCAACCAAGATATATCAATTGTGCAAGCAAGGAGACAGCTGTGAGCTCCTTGTGGTCTCGCCCCCACCCCCCAACAGTCACCGCTCTTAATGAATGGGCTTCCCATGACCACACTTTGATTCCAATGGCCTTCGGGATCGATCCTTGTGGCTACCATAGTTTCGCACACCCGATCCGCTGAGCTCATTCCTGGATCTGCGCTCTGGGCAGGATGATCAGTACCTCAGGAAGCAGCGCAGTTGCTGACAACTGCACACTTGAGAAGTGTGCTAAAATGACGCGATTGCTGTTGTTCCATTTCGAGCTTAAACCACTCTCAAGGCTCTGCCACATACTGAAAAATTGCTTGGTACCCCCCTGCGTGGCGTCCAGCAGTGCCATAGATCACCACTTCAGTTGGGCATTTCAACACCCCCCTGTAGCTTTTGCGATGGCTCGGAGATCCAAACGTGCAGACTTGCATTTAATTCCGTTTCCGCGCAATGACCGTTTCTCGCAGCAGCGCCACTGGCCTTGCAGGCTGCAGGAACCTAGCTGGCTCAACCCCCGTGCAATCCATTGCTGCGCCATTTGTCAAGACCCCGTCTTGTTTCTGTTATCACCGCTCACAGTCGCCTGACAGGCGCAAGCGCAGCATCCCGTCCTGTTTTCTGGCATACGCCAAATCCGCAGACTTTACTCATTTCACGTGGATGGGCGGTGAGGTGCGCGCCTCTGAACAAGCACGCCACGCACAGGGCCAAAGAGCCACACCCCGACCCGCGTGAGCAAGGGTAGGGATCAGGAGATTCACCTGACGCGGATACCACAGCGGGTGGCACCTGGTGACCATCACCACCTGGTGACAGCCAGCCACCTCCTTGGGGCCTTGACGCTCCCGCCAGAGTCCGCGGGGGTAAACGGGAAAGCACGGACAGCGCGAACGCCCAAAGCACGGGATCGTCCTCCTCATCGTCGCATCCGGCAGCGAGCTCAAGCCAGCGAATGAATCCCTTGCTCTCCACCTTCCTCCATTTCTAATCGTCCGGTTTCCCGATTCGCGTCTTCCACAGAATTGTCACCGGGGCCGGAAGGTGGCCGCGGCGGGGCCCTCCCGCGCCCTTGGCTGGCCGGCACCGCGGCCAGCCGGGAGCCGCCCACGGCACATGCCCCCCCTGTGGCATGCCCCCCGCCTTGGGGCCCCCCCGCGCGCCCGGCCCGCAATAATCGCCGCCATGACAACGACCCAGTCCGGGATCCCCCAAGGCCGAGCGAGAACACTCAGCCCATCCCCCTCCCCTTTTTCGCCTCCACCCCCGGGATGCGCAACGAGCGAACGGAAAATCAGCGCACATGTGAGCCGTCGGCTTTCAGTCCGCAAAAAGGCCTGCCCCAACCCTGGCCAATTTCCAACGGACTTCCCGTGACGGCCATCCCTTTGCGGTCACGCACATCCGACTCGAACTCGGCGTCGCCATCGGCAGGAGACCCAATCGCCGCGCTGGATGGCATCCGAGCTGCGCTCACCGGTGCAGAGGGCCCCGCGGGCTGTCGCTGTGCGCCGCGAGTTGTTGCGCCGGCCGGGAGTCCGCGTGGTTTGGCGTCGCCTGTGGGCGCGCTGCTCTGTACTTCCGGTGAAGTGCAAATGGTGATGCTACGTGACGTCAGGTCGGCGCACGTTCAGTCAACCGGGCCGGTTCTGCATGGATCCCGCGGGGACGACTGTGGCGAAGTGACAGTACATAGCACGCCATGGTTTTGGGAGGCAATATGCAAAACAATCTTGACACGCAATGCATACGCAAGCTGTTTTTGATGGGGACAGAACGCTCCTCACACATTCATGTGATTACCGTTGGTTGTCAATGAGTAATTAAGTAACGTGCTTCGTGACTTTGCTTTTAGGTGAGTATATGACTAGGGACACGCGGGTGGGCGTTTGAGATGCGCCAGGGGGCTGGGTACTCTGGGCAGTACTGGTGGCCGGGTCCGTATCTGGTAACCGTACTGTTTGGCAGTGTTGGACCCCATGGTCCCCATGCAGGTCGCGTTTGAACATTGGGTGAGAGATCCCCGGACAGCAGGAACGATTTCAAAGAGAACAAAGGCTGGCGTTGTGACATGCGCCTTGATGGGATTTTCTCGTGTTTCGTCAGCCTCCCTGTTTGAAGAGCGCTCAATGGCCACCAGCTAGCTTGTGCTGCTCCCACACGTCCATCCTCTTGGATGTGATTCGGATTAAGGACCAAATGAAGTGGTGACGTACTCGGGCCATCTCAAGCAGTACTGCACGCATGAATCACAAGCCCATCGCATGCAACAATGCGCAGCAGACTTACCAAGTCATTTGGTTTGCACAATTCCACGTAGTGCACACTGCGCAACTTTGGGTTCACACCATTCAAAGAGACTACAGCAAAACGAGCATCCATGAAGAAATGCTACATTATGGAATGGAAAGAGCAAGCAACGGCATTACCCCAGAAGACCGTTCCATGCCGCCCAAGGCAACTAGCGCAACCACTGTGGACACAGCGGAAGCATGGCACAAGCCTTGGCCCCAGCTCACCCTTGGAGAAAGTTTACCACAGCTGCACATGTACTTAGAAATCCCAATCAACCAGTCTGCAACCCATACTGCAATTGCATTTTGCTCCTCACAACAGAGAAAAGCAACCTGGTGATGCAGTAGAGGCCCTGGTGTGCCAGTCACAAGGCTGGATGGGCTCAAGTGCCGATCTTCTCAAGCCAAATACAAAATGGCAAGGCAACACAGTGGATGCATGCATTTATAATCCATCTTGTCAGCATGCCCCACTCTGCCTGCAGACCCAGCACAGCCAGTATGCATTCGTCCAGCCAGCGCTCCTGCTGCACACTTCCCATGCTCCCAGTAAACGTTTTAAGACCGAGTGATAACACCATCCCCAAAACCTCAAGAAGTAAAGGCGTCCAATGCTTACGACCCCAGCCACCCTCCTGCAGAAATGGGCACCCTTCACCCTGTAGGCCAGGAGCATTCTGTCCCCATTATGTGATGACCTGGCCTGGTGGGTTCCATGCTCCGGAAAAAAGACCTGAATGACCCACGTGCACTGAAACACCCCCAAAACAACCGCGGTGCTGAAAACGGCCGTGGTGTAGCCGGCCGCTTTCAGACCCTCGACCCACAGGCTCCACAACTGCAAACCTTCGAATTACGCAAACGTTCACGATGCCCCCTACTTTGCTGCGGCCAGGTCCTCCGCGATCGCCACGACGACCTTCCCCTTGGTGTGCCCACCCGCGACGTGCGTGAACGCCGCGGCCGACTCCTCCAGGGGGTACACCTTCTCCACCACGGGCCGCAGCCTGCCCTCCGCGATTGCCTCCAAGGCGCGGTCCAGATCCTTCACGCTCTGTGAGTTCGACATCAGCATCACGTAGCCCGGCCCGCCGAACCTGCTCTTCAGCTTTCTGTACATTGTGGCGCCCAGCATGGAGACCATCAGCCCCATCGTGATTGCCCCCTCCGTCTTGTCCGCGGCCACCGCCACGAACTTCCCCCCCCGCTTGAGCACCGCCCGCGCGTTGGCCCACGACTCCCCGCCTCCCTGCGTGTCCACAATGACGTCGAACTGCCCCCCGGCCAGAGTGTCCCACCACTTGGAATCCACGTAGTCCGCGTGGGCGTCCGCGCCCAGGCCCATCACCAGCCCCTCGTTCGCCTTCGAGCTCACGCCCACCACGTGCGCCGCGCCCCGCCGCTTGGCCAGCTGGACGGTTGCCGAGCCGATGCCGCCGCTGGCGCCCACCACCACCACCCTCGACCCGTCCCCCACCCCCCCGGCGTCCAGCGCCTGGATGGCCGCCAGGGAGGCCATGGGCAGGGACGCCGCCTCAGCGAACGTCAGGCCGGGCGGCTTCTTGCCCAGCCAGGCCTCGTCCATCACAGCCAACTCCGCCAGCGTGCCCTGCCGCTTGTGGTGGCCCGCCGACCACACCGCGTCGCCGACCTTCAGCCGCTCGCATTTCGCGCCCGCCTCCACCACAACTCCCGCAAGGTCCATGCCGGGGACGTACGGCGGCTTGGGGTCGCCCATGATCTTGCACTCGCCGATCGCCCACCGGTAGTCCGCCGGGT